CATGCCCAAGATCGGACCTGGCTAACGCGCCTGGGTGGTGGCTGGCTGCGACATTACGGCGTATATCTGCTGCACACGAAGACATCTCAAAGACTACTCACGACGATGCGACGAATATCCGACAGATCGAAAACAACGAACTACTCTAAGAACGACATACCTTCATCTGCTACGCGTACAGACAGGCCACGGGGATTTCTGCGACTGTGTATCCGGCACAAGGATATAGTCAGGAGAATGGATGGATGAATATCCTGTCGACGGGCTTTGATACTGTGTGTATAAATATCATGGAATTGTACTCTCACGATCTGATACTTGTAACAGTCATTTGAACCCTCCAAACGGGCAACGAATTTCAGACTTGTACTTTTGATCCACGGTGCCAAACACAAACAAGCTTTCTCTAAGCTTTGATAAGCTCGAATTCTTCTCTCTTGCGCTAGTGCAATGAATGTAATACCTCATTCAAGGAGAAAAGCTGGAATCCCGGTGCCTACGTTGAAGTTGGGCTCACTACTTTCCATGCTTCCAGGCTGATGTAAGCTGCAGACCTGTTCGGCTTTTCTTTGCGTGAGGTGGCAGCGGCTCCTCAATTTAACTAGTCAAGTCTGCAAGCATAAGCTAGGTACCGGTGGCTTTAACTGGGCGCATGCTGACCGCGTCTACGCGCCTGAAACATTCCAGAAAACATCTCCATTGGATGTTGTGATCTGCTGTCAGCCTGATCGGTGCACAAAGCCTTGTGAGGACACAACTCTTAGGCTCTCGGGATGGTCACATGTGCAAGTATCACGCCTCGAGTACACCCACCTGCCCAAAAGACACCCAAAAGACCGCATGGGATGACGCTCGAGTCAGCTCAGAGCACTCCGGTCTTCGTGCTTCCAAATCGGTGCGTGTCATTGGAGGAACGAGAGTCTTGTGCCATCAGTCGGAACCAGTATACGAATTGCCACGGTTATCTGCAGGCTGACGTCTCCAATCAAACCCTTGCACGCAGCCTGGCGACACATCTGGCCGAGTAGATTGCGCAAATTGTCTGTGCAGTGACTGCATCAGTGCGGGAGGGGCGGGGGCGTTCTCGCACAGAACGCACGTCTTGTTCCCGCCATTCGTGGAAGCCCATCGCGAAAGTCGTGGTCCAGAGCCATCTCGCACTTCTCATCCCACTGGAGACGAGACGGAATGCGCGAACGCGTAGTGACAGCGATACCACCGCAGTAGGTCCGCGCGCTAGAATGTGTTCTAGAAAGGCGTGCAATTCGCACGACTCCCGATGCATCACCCCTAGTAAGCCCACGATAGTGGAAACTGCTCTGATGGGTTGTAGCTTGGATCCACCTGCCGAGAATGCTTAGCGCGTGCTAGGGCGCCCGATAGCTGCTTGCTTCAGCGCCATTGAGGCTTGTCTCAATGCCAAATCGCACCTTAAGCGAGTTGGAACGCCCGGCGCCCCATCCTGCGGACGCGTGCTGGTCGAAGGCGCCTCGGTGTATCGAGAGGTTTGCTTGACAATACTCTGTACGAACAGTATCTGCGACGTGTGAACAGCAACGAGAAAAGGCCGGTTGTTGTACGATAATTCGCAAGCAGGTAGGCATGCATGCCGTGCATAAGCTGTACCCCTCTTTCAGTAGACAAGGCTTGTATCGAAGCTTGTCACTCCAACGTCTACCCCAGTACAGCGATCCCATCCTTATCAGCCCCGGGCGAGGTTAAGGCAATTCAAGGCGGCATAGCCCATACCGAACGGCGACACCGTCTGCATCTTAATCGTATCATTCGCTCCCAATCACACCATTGACCAGTAGGCTTTCCAGACCACACCGGAGCTGCGCCGCGACTAGTCTGCAGAATGTCAGTCGCCGCTGGGGTCCAGCCCATGCTCTGCTTTTGCGAGCGGTTCCCGGGTGCTGGGACGAGGGTGCTGCGAAGTTGAGAAGGGAACCCTCGTAGGCGCGTGGGTATAAAGGCCGTTTCGTACCCCCATTCACCCGGCTTGCAAGGCTATCTTCTCTCGCGCCTCTACCCTTCTTGTGCTCTCCTGGGTTCTTTATCCCTGGTAGACTCAGGCTCAGTCTTCCACTTCGCTGAGTATACCTCTTGGTGTTCTTATCTCCCTGTCGCCCGATATGTCGGTCAACGACTACGAAAAGCAGCAGTATGTTGCGGGCGAGAGTCCCTCTGACCATGCTGTGGGCGATGTCCACGACATCAAGGACCACGCCCTCAACGAGGCTGCTGGTGTCTACGGTTCCGCTCAGAAAGCCGAGGACTACGGCTACGTCCAGAGAGGTCTCAAGTCGCGCCACATCCAGTTCATCGCGCTCGGAGGTACCATCGGTACTGGTCTGTTCCTCGGTATTGCCAGTGCTTTCGCCAATGCCGGTCCCGTCTCTGTCCTTCTTGGTTATACCATCACGGGTGTCGCCGTCTTCGGCATGATGCAGTGCCTTGGAGAGATGGCCACATGGCTCCCGCTTCCCGGTGCTATCCCGCAGTACGCTGCTCGCTATGCGGACCCCGCTCTTGGTTTTGCCGTCGGTTGGAACAACTGGTACAACAGCTCCATTACACTCTGCGCCGAGATATCTGCTGCCGCTCTCTTGATCAACTTCTGGGACCAAGAAGAGAAGTAAGTATAACGGTCCAATCGAGTCCCAACACTTTCTGACTCCAGTTAGGTACAATCCTGCGATATGGATCTCCATCATCATCGTCATCATCGTCTTTCTGAACATCTTCGCTGTCTCGATTTACGGAGAAGCCGAGTTCATCTTCGCATCCATCAAGATCATAACAATCATTGGACTGCTTCTTGCCGGTCTAGTCATTATGCTCGGTGGAGGTCCTGACCATGACAGGCGAGGATTCCGCTATTGGAAGGAGGGTGCGATGAAGGAGTACGTGGGCACTGGGAATACGGGTCGCTTCACGGGTCTCTGGTCTACACTTGTCAACGCAGCGTTCTCGTACGGTGGTGTTGAGATGGTTGCAGTCGCTGCCGGTGAAGCCGCCGACCCCCGCAGGAACAGTAAGCAACGTCTTGTCTCGACTCTTCGTATAACGATCACTGACCTTGTACCTCTCTAGTTCCCAAAGCCGTTCGCCGTGTATTCTGGCGTATCCTGTTCTTCTACGTCCTGGGATCGTTCATCATCGGTACCTGTATCAGCTCAAACGACCCTCAGCTCACCGATGAGAACGCCAAGGGTGCTCAGTCATCCCCCTGGGTCATTGCCATGAAGAACGCAGGCATTCCCGTCCTCCCCCACATCGTCAACGCTGTCATCTTGACATCCGCAACCTCATCTGGCAACGCTTTCCTGTACACCGGATCGCGTTATCTCTTCAGTATCGCACAGAACGGCCAAGCCCCACAGTTCCTCCTCAGGTGCAACAAGAAGGGTGTCCCTGTCTACGCTGTTGCAGTCACAGCCTCGATCTCGCTACTCACATACATGAGTGTCAGCGCTGGTGCCAACAAGGTATTCGGATGGTTCCAGAACCTGACCACCATCGCGTCGCTCTTTACTTGGTGCACCATTACCTACACGTACACCCGGTTCCGTAAGGCATGCATTGCCCAGAACGTCGACCGCAGCACCATGGTCTTCGCTAGCAAGTGGCAGCCATATGTTGCCTGGACCGTGTTCGCTTACTTCGCCCTCATCATTCTCTTCAACGGCTTCAAGGTCTTCACCACCACCCCTTGGGGACCCGATGAGCTGACCAGCTTCTTCACCGCCTACATCGGCGTTGCCATCTTCGGTCTCCTCTATGCTTTCTGGAAGATCTTTAAGCGGACCAAGATGGTCAACCCGGCCGAGGCAGATATCTGGAGTGGCAAGGCGGCGCTTGATGCGGAGGTTTGGCCTGAGCAGATCCCGCGCAATGCTCTTGAGAAGTTCTGGTTCTGGCTTTGCTAGATGGGTGGCGGTGGTATTCGCTTGGGTGGTGTCTTTGCCTTGTCGAAGTCGGTGTATAGAAAGGACATGTTTGTAGCGACTATTATGTTGAATGAATCGTATGAACAACTATATCGTTTTGAGAAGTGAGGAGAGCTCAACAGTAGTTTTTGTGATCTGAATTACTATACACCCAAGGCGCTAGTCGCGCCCTACGCTGACGAAGGTTTGCCGTCGGGTAACCTTGGAAGGCATGGGGCGCCTTAGCCAAATACGCGGGGCGCGATTCTCTCCACAGCTCAGGACTCTCAACCCCGGCTGCTATGAACTGCTTCTTCGAGATAATACTCTGGTGCTGTGTTGACGAATTTGATGGTCGCCCGGCATATCTCCGTCGTATTGCTTTGCTGCCAATCGCATGCAATGTGGTCACGAGGCACCGTTTAATTTATCAATATTCCGATCCATGCGACAAGTATTGGGGTGCCTGAACGCGTATGCAGTGTATTCATAGGTACTTCCAGCTCATGTCGCAGTGTCGTAGATGCCTTGGGTGCTTGCAGACTCCCGTGCGACAGCCGTACACAGAGTGTAGTCTTTCAACAATCCAAAGGTACGGACAGCAAGTTTCCTGGAATTGCTCCGAGACGCTACTGTAGAGCGGAGATCGTGTGTCGCGCATTGCGGGCTCAATATTTAGCCACAAGTCATCCACTAGACCCACAGGTTTGCCTAATTGGTGCTTCGCGTGTCAGACCCTGTCGCGCGACCTTCGATCAACGGCTTCCCAGGCATCCACGTTCGTCATACATCAAACACCTTACCAACTCCGGCACATCCAGTATTCAAAGGTGTCGCACATAATCAGCGACCGTCATTCTCCACTCCAGCGCGTGTCTCCGACAGACCCTCACAAGATCTACCGGCCATTGCATGCGCTAGTCGATCTTCCATTGATTACAAACATGGAATTGCGCAGTTAGCAACGTCGAATCTGGATCAAAGACGTTATGCGTGCGCATCTCAAGACGACAGTCATTCGAATATACCATCCTACTACAAGCGGCAACTTTGCCGACGTCAACCAGAATGTCGGGCCTTGGAGATGACACCAAGTCGCAGACGCTCTGGACCATGAACAACCAACTTGTCAATAGCCCAGACGCGGAACAGCCCCGGAAGTCTCAAGACCAGCCATTAAACCGCGCTTGTGAAGCATGCCGCATTTCCAAAGTCCGATGTCTTATGAACCCGGACACAAGCTCGACGCAGTGCCAGCGATGCGCCAAGGCGAACCGAACATGTGTTTTCGCGCCACCAGCCAAGAGAAGACAGAGAAAGAGAACAGACGTGCGGGTCACGGAATTGGAGAAAGAGATACAGCAGATGCGAAGTCTTCTGAAGACCAACGCCAGATCATCGAATGATGTTAGCGAACAGGAATCCGGCGATGAGGACTCGGACGATCAAGGCCATGTGAGAAAGAAGGAGACGCCTCCTAGCGTATCAAGTCGCCCGAGTGTCACAACAGCAGCGTCAATGGCCACAGCATCAACCATCAAAGCTTCTACTGTCGATTCTACGCCTACTGTCGCGCCGACAGACTTCCTGGGATCTTCTGAAAACGACATTATAGACCGTGGTGTCATCTCGGAAGATCTAGCAGTCGAGCTCTTGAACATATGGCGCACCGAGCTCGTCGCTGCATGTCCAGGCATCACGATTCCCAAACAATGGGACGTGTTCGATCTCCGAGCAAACAAGCCTGCGCTCTTCCACGCGATTATGGCCGCGGCTGCGCACTCGAAAGGTTCTGCCCTGTCTGACAGACTACATGAAGAAACCGTCCTTCTCTACGCACGTTCCGCCTTCATCAAAGGCGAGAAGTCGGTTCAAGCTATTCAGGCGCTCATCGTCACAGTCACGTACTACTCACCATCGAAGACACCAGGCCAGCTGCAAATCTATCAGTGGGTCAACATGGCCGCGTCGATGGCTCTGGAGTTGGGCTTGACATCCAAACCCAGAACGCACGAGCAACTCCCCAAACGTGCGATTCGATCGCTCCAGAAGATTTCTTCGCCCGAGGAGTTGCTCGAGCACTGCCGCACTATCCTACTACTCTACATCATCAGCGCAGGCTTCTCGATGAGACTGAAACGCCCCAACATACTGCTGTTCAACAGTTGGATGGAAGAGTGCTTCAACATACTGGAAAAGTCGAAACTGTTGGACGACAAGAGGATAGTGGCGTGGTTGAAGCTTCAGAGGATAGCCGACGAGGCAAATACGGCCTTTGGCTTCGACGACGCAAGCACGAGCTTTAGTCTTTCAGAGCTCCGTATGCAGATCATACTGCGAATCTTCGATCGGCGGATGCAAGACTGGAGGAAAGGGATTCCAGACGACGTTATGACGCTGAACCTACAGGTAGAGTACTACTCCGACATGTTATCGATGTGGGAGTTTGGTATGGACGGAGGTCGCTACGACGGTAAGTCAAAGCATACATATCACACCTAACCCATCTAACGCAACCCAGTCATCGAATTCCGCAACCGCCACATCACTCTCCCCGCCCTAGACGACGACTGCGTGCAACCCGAATCCCTCCTCTCGCGCTCCGCCCTCCAAATCAACGCAACCACAAAATGCATCTCGGCCGCCCACACCATCCTCGACTTCTTCATCGCCGTTCCCGTCGACAAACTGCGCAAATCTCCAAACGCCCTCTACGTCCGCGCCGTCTACTCCCTCGTTACCCTCATGAAAGCAGAATACGCCGTTGGCACCGACGCGGAAATGGGCGAGCTGCTCGAAAGCCAGAGCCTCAAAGTGAGTTATTATCTTGACACTGTGCTGGATAAGACGAATGAAGCGGGTGGGCCGCAGGAGTGTAGAGTCCGGGTGCCGAGCCATTGGAATTTCTTGCTGCATGAGAAGTTGAAGAGTTGGTGGGATGAATATCAGATTTGGAGGAAGGAGGGGAGGCATCTTAAGAGGAGGAAGAAGATGGGGGGTGGAGATGAGATGAAGACCGCAAGCGGGAATCAGACACCTGCGTTCGCGGAGCAGAATGTGCAGGTCGCGGCTACTTCTACAGCTGCTATTGATCCAAGTCAGGTTGCAGCACAGCAGCAGCAACAACATCAGCCCGCTCCTCCTTCTCTCCCCACGTCGTCATTCGCACTGGGTAACGCGTATCCCACACCCTCACCGTGGAACGCGAACGACATGGCCATTGACCCGCAGCCGATCAGTGATCAAACGGCGTTTACCACGGATATGGGCGACTTCTCCGCGGCGTTTCAAAACGGCGATTTGTATCTGTGGAATGACATGACGGCGGATAATTTCGGGGGATGGGTTCCACAGGGGGGATCGTATGGTGGTGGTGCAGGATTTGGGGGGATGAATGGGGGCATGTTCTGAGCAATTCAAGTTCATTGTGGATATAGTGAGGGTCTTACTGCAAATGTGATTGTATTCCATGTAAATACCGTCTGAAGCACATCATTCATGACACATATAGTCACCCTATCTACAATTTCTTCAACCCGCCCTCAACCCACTCAATGACTTTCTCCAATAACCCAACATCAGCCTTGGCCTGCTCCAGCGCCTCTTCACCCTCGACAACAAGTGCGCCACCACCCGATGACAGCTCCTTCTGGAACTGCGCCGCTGTCTGTTTGAGCACGTCTAGATACTGCGACTGAATGTTGTGATTACTGTTCAACTCCTTGATACCAAGCGTCTCATGTAGATGCTTCGCCTGGAGTAGCAGATAGTAGAAATTGAGTGCTGCAACGTAGAAACCAAGTTCTTGGCGAAATTGCATCCATGACTCTTCTAGGACGGCATCGGTGGCATATTGCTTGGTGAGATCAGGCCATAGGAAAGGAGCGACGGTAGATAGCGCTACTGGGGTAGCGAAAATGTTCGTTTCTTCGTGTTCGTCATCTGCGGATTGGGGACGCGGGGCGTTGGCTTCGAGGGTCTCGCCTTTGAGCCACGATACCGCGCTTGCTTTGAGGTTCTCGTATGGGCAGTGTTCTAGCGTGTCGCGGATGAAGGTTAGGCGGACGAGATCGTGGGGATGTGAGCGCAGAACCGTTGTGGTGAGGTAATGCGCATGCCCACGTAAGCTCGGGGACGGCGAGTTTGCAGAGATGAGCGAGATTGTTTGCAGGTATTGGGCGAACGACTCGTCGTCTTTGGGCTCACCGATGTTGTTCTTTTCGAGTGCGATGAGACCAAATGTGAGGACTGTATCGAGCAATGCTTCGGGCTCCATGCCGACGGTCTGTTGCCCGAGGGTTCCGATGAAATTGCTGAGTATCGTGGCGTGTCCTGGGAAAATGGCAATTGACGATGACTCGTCTTGCTTGGCTGAAGCATACAGTTCCTGTTTGACATTTTGCGCAGCGATAAGTAAAAGAGCGCCTGTTCGTGAGAGCGGTATATCGGCAGCCGTGGCTGGGGGTTCATCTTCTGTTCCTGGGATACCTCGCTTCTCATCCTCCGTATCCATCACAGTCCGCAGCAGCTCCTTGTACTTCAACCCAAGATCCTGAGTCAAGGCTACAATCTGTCCAAGAATCGCAACCCTAGAGGTCAGATCCTCTTCTTCTGCGAACCTATCCGCATATTTCTTGTAGTTGGGCTTGTTCGGTATCCGCTGGGGCTCGTACCGCTCCATCAGTCTGCTTGCCCACGCGAGGCCTGGAACGTCGTCGTCTGATGTCAGCGACAAGACGTAATCCTCGAGGATATGCGTGAGGAATGACTGGAGTAGGCGATTGACAAGATCATTCTCTTCACTGCTCGGTGCATCGCTCTGTGCCTCCGGATCTGGCTCCGATTGGTTGGTGTTTACACGTAGCAGATTTCCGCTGCTTCGTCTTGATGGCAAATGCGGCCTCTTAGTGCCGGAAAGCGTCTTGACGAACTTGACAGCGGATAGGGTGAGGTCTTCAATGTGCGTGTTGGCCCTGTTATATGCGAGCAGTGCAGCCTGCAGACTGGTAGAGAGGAACCGGCTTGGATATTTCGTCTTGACCCGTCGATGTAGCGTTGCAAGTATAGTCAAGAGGACCTCGAACTTTAGTACCGGAAGTGGCGGGACTACGGCTGGTTGGAACGCAGGACTTGTGCTCGATTCGCCCATTCCGACTTCTGCCGCTTTCTTGCTTCCGCTGGTGTCTGCATCATCTTCTTCTTCGTCGGTGTGATCGTGTGGTTCCTCGAATTCCAGTAGCCGCAGCGCCTCTGTCACTTTCAAGACACACTCTCTGGGGTTGCCCTTTGCGGCAATGTCTTGCAAACAATCCTCCGATAGCGGGAGCAGCGGAAGAAGCAGATGTATCAAATCCCAGCCGATAGTCGCAGTAAGCTCTGCATCTTGAAGAACCTCGTGTAGGATCGGCAAGTTCTCCTCAGACAAGTTGTATTCAATAATAGTAAGATAGGTGATGGGATCGGTAACCGGCGGACGTGAGGCTAGAAGCGGATGCTCGTCCTTCTGGGCAGGAACCTGGATCTCGGCCATGACTCGTGCTCTTGCTTGTGTGTCCGGCCTGCGTATACTGGATGGCAAGTAAAGTCGAAGCGAACAGAAAGTGATCGAGAGTAGGACGGCGATGGGAACTGGGATGTTGAGGGTGAATGTACCTAGAAATGTTGGATTGGGGCTGGGCCCTGACGCAATGCCTACCAGCCCACCACTAGATTCGCGTGCACGCTAGTCCCCGCTTCCGCCAAGACGATCGCTCCTGCCAAAGTTCACCGCGGAGGCGCCTTGTAGCTCTCACACGACGAATCGCATCCACGACAGACATATTGCCCGCCATGGACGAGAAAGAAGAGACCAACGAGCCCCTCGACCTTGTGCGCCTCTGCATTGACGAAGTCGTCATTGTCAAATTGCGCGGCGACCGCGAACTCAAGGGCAGACTACACGTGAGTCGCGATGCAGCAGCTTGTATATATGTACATGCATAGCTAACAGCATAGCTAGGCATACGACTCGCATTGCAACCTCGTCCTCGGAGACGTCGAAGAGACCATATACATTGCCGAAGAGGAAGACGAGGACCAAGAGCCTCGCGTGCGGACAGTCAAGAAGCAGAGCGAGATGCTGTTCGTCAGAGGTGAGAGATGTACAGGATTTTAGAAATGACGTGAAGCTGACGGTATGCCAGGTGACTCTGTAGTCTTGATTGCGCCGGCAGCAGAAGCATCGCAATGATCCGCATTCCGTGGTTACTCGCACGAATCGAATTTCGACATAGCAAGGGCGCAATTGGCTTGCTGGGGCTGACAAAGCAACGACGGCACGAAACGGAAGCAGTCACGATTGAGATACCCGAATGCTTGGATGGTGGGGCGCATTCGCTGGGGCAGACTTGGGGTGGAGGATAGCAAAGGTGTATATGGAGGTTTCGGGCGTTCAGCGTAGGCTTGGACGTGTCAACTGAACCTCTCTCAACGACCATGAGATGACAAACATCAAGTTCAATGGAAACCCATATGAAGTCTCAAATCTGGGCCAGAAGTACATGCACATCCACAATCGAGTTCGCTCACTGCAAGGTGTTCGCACTCATCACTCAAGGTCAACGTTATTGAAGATGCAAGTATTAAGCGCTTTTCTTGACTCTACTGGAAAGCCCAAACTAAGAGCTTCATTGTGCCGCGCGTAATGCAGATAGAGAAACCCCATACGCACATAGTGCGGTGTCCATGTAACTCCTGTGCGTCGAAGAATCGCCAATCGCTGAAACCCGACCCAAGAGGAGTGACAAAAGTAGAAAAGGGAAGAAAGACGGCCACCAGAAGGAGAATACCGCGTGAGTTGGAGAATTAGACTAATGGGAGTGGGTGTTCATGACCTCGTTTCGTCGTGATACGGCCGGAAGCGCTTTCCAAAGCAAGTAGATACAGTCGAAGGGAAGTTTGCCAGCTGCCAGGGTATGGGTGACGGCGACGAGAGAGTAAGAACCAGTGACGGAGGGAACGAAAAGACTCAGGCCGGATAACCATAAACTCCATGCACCGGGTGTCCGAACGAAGGTTGGACTAATGTAGACTGGGAAGATTGCTGGTGTTGACCCTGTTCCAAGAAGCCGCCAAAGCGCCGGGTATCCGTGAACAATAAGCAAGAATGGAGAAGATTTCGATGGTGACCATGTTGGTGCTGATGCTGAGTTGTAGCAGACCGGTTGACTTGTACTGCCTGGCTCTTGACGGGCGGGTGCTGGTGGATGCCCTCGGAGAGATGCGCGATCACACGAGCCCTGAGCCACGTTAGAACACAGTCAAGTCAGAGCCATGTGGAGACAAGTGTATTCACTTTCGCCTCCAAGTTTGGCTGGCAAGGCTGTCCCTAGACACAAATGGCAGCGAGAAGCCCTTTGAGACCTCTGCCTCGACGAATATGGAAGCACGCTTATAGCGCTTGTCGGTGTACTTCTCGTACACAGCCGCGTGATGCTTTTGTGGGTTGTCGCAGCACTCAAGGATGACGGAGATGAGGTGTCGCAGTTGAGTCAGTGTGTACCCGGAGTAATGTACGTGTGCTTGCGACTAGGGGATGTTAGCATGGTCTGATATAGTGCACGGATATAAGCTTACCCAGTCACCCTTCTTCAGCATGAAGCGGGCAAGGCAGTGAGCACCGGCCGACAGGAAGCTAGGAGCGCAACCCACGAAGCGCTCATCCATGACGGTGATCTCCAAGAAGTACTTGGATAGGGTACGAGTCTCCAGGTCGTAGTCATCTGCTTTGCTGATACGGCGAAGGAAGCTCATTGGGCCAGGCCAACCCAGCTCGAACTGAAGCATGCTGAGCATGAAGCGCTCGGCCTTCAAAACCTCATCGGCAGTGTAGGCACCGTCGACCATGTATACGATCTCTTGCACTGACGGGCAGTTGATCTCCTCGTACTTGGCAGCGACGAAGAGCGCGGTGGCGCCGACAAGCTGAAGCTTGCCAAGTGAAACAACCTTGCACGAGAGGAAACGGTCGACGTAGTTGACGGCGAGGAAGAGAGTCTCGGGCAGAAGGGTGAAGCGGTTGTGGACCTGAACGAGCCAGTCCATCAAGACGGACCGCATCGACCATTGGATCTCGGCCTGGTGGTCCATGTAAGAAGCGTTGGGCTTCATGCGCTCTTCAAGGGCGTGCATGTACTCGAAAATCTCGTCGCCGTATTCAGCGACCATGGAGGTATCCCACTGCTCATCCTCCACGTCTTCGGCACTCCGATTCGCTTCGACGAAGATCCGAGCAGCCTCAAGTTCGCGTTGTGTCTTTGCAGTGACCCTAGGCGCAAGGACAAGGGTGACGCCGCCAGTTGTGTTGTCGCCACGCGATCGCAGAGACCGGGCAGTAGTGTAGCCGTCGGCATCGTAGTACTCCTCGTCTTCCT